CTAAAAGAACTCGTATGTCTGAAACCTGAGGAACCTCTTTATTCAGTGCGGTTTGAACTCTCCTTCTGGACTGTAGTATCGTAATGTGATCAGCAACAGTTTCTAATCACATGGTGAAGGTGAAGGTGTCTCTTTAAATCGTTCCAGCAGTTGACGGTCAAAACATTCTCCATTTGCAGTCAGTTGTTGGATTGGTGTCTCTTTATAGGTAGACATGGTGGACAGGGATCAGAAATGAATCATTTTACCCTATTACAGTATATAGAAACCTCTGCACATGCTTATGGATAGTATATCACAGTACTGAAACGATGGTCCATAAATGGAAGCTATGCCCGGGGGCCACACAGAGTAGATCGGTGCTCGGACAGTCACGAGGCTCCCAAGCTAAGCCGCCCCATCTGGTAATCCTGATGTTATGTGGGACGGCTCAATCATCTTTATTTGGCTGACCACCAGAGAATAAAGCGCTTGACAATCCATAAGAGTCATATGGGCCAGATTACAAGGGAGGAAAGAGGGCTATGCTGTCAGTCAAAATGATGGAGCCGCCCCACATGATATCGGGTGTCACATGGAGGTGACGAGCTGGGGGACTAAGAGGAAGCGGACGACTTCTATAACACTGAGATTAGAGCTCCAACAACTAATCGACTAAATAGGTAATAATCGATGATGAAAATAGTTGGCAACTATTCTCATCATCGATTAGTTGAGAGAGATTTTTTTTTAAAATTACAACCAATCGATTAGTTGAGAAAATAATCTGGCAACTAATCGATTGCCAAAATAATCGTTAGCTGCAGCCCTAACTAAAATTGGAGCATGCACAGCCAGAGTGGCAATGCAGAAGACTGTCAGTCAGCCGACATAGGAGGTTCTATGACTGGGCAGGATCACCAGATATCCCACATGTAATAATCTTTTATCGATTCATTGACCGCACTCCAAAATTGTTTGGAAATCGATAAGGGAAAATTAATTTCTGGGTTTAGTGTCACTTTAACCCTTTGTTTTCTTCTATTGCAGCAAGACCGCCTTCAGCTGGACAGAATAAAGAGCCAACTGTCAGATTCCATCCAGCGCTATGGCAACGTGCAAAAGGTAAAGGATCACAGACTCGTCTGACGGCTTGTGGAATAACGGGGTGGGGGGGGGTTCATGAAAACTGGAGCAACCAATCAGCTTCTCTCTTCTGTTTAGCTTTGGAAATGAGACGGGGAAGCTGATTGGTGGCTCCAGTTTTTATGAATCCCCCCCCCGGTCCTCCTCAGGAGCAAGAATCGTTGTAATCAGTGTATGGGAAATGGTTACATTGTAACACCAAATACAATTAATTTCCAAATGACATGTAAGATGATGACGGAGAGTCTAAGGGAGGTCCGGGGTCTTGTCATCCATCATTGTCCTGATCGTTCAGGGGAGACAAGTCAGAGATTTCCTGTACAGTGGGGGGGAGGGGGAAGCTGAACGATCAGAGCACACAATGTGAGAGGAGACATTCGTCTCTTTCTCATAGAACACCGGAACTTGCAGAGAGGGGGCGTGGCTATGTAAATTCTAAGCAGCTGTAAGGAAGGGGCGGGGGTTATGGTAATAGCTGAACGGTCAGGGGGAACTAAGATTTACTGGGGAACAGGTTTTCATAAAAATGCTGCAAGCATCTGATTACTGACACAGAGCAGGTGAAGGGAGGCGGAGTCAGCTTGCTGCTTCTCATTGAGACTCCGCCTCCTGCTCCCACATGTCAGCGTGCACACCCCAGCCGTACACAGCGCACATGATTAGAGAAAGGGCGGCTGTGTAAATACTGAGCAGCTGTAAGGAAGGGGCGGGGGTTATGGTAATAGCTGAACGGTCAGGGGGAACTAAGATTTACTGGGGACAGGTTTCCATACAACTGCTGCACATTTTCGGAGAGAGAGAGGAAGGAAGGAAGGGGCGGAGGCACTGAGGAGAAACGGCCTTACATGCACGCACTGCCATTTGCTGGCACAGAAGGGGACGTGGAGGTAGCAGTTCTCAAGGAACGCGGTGAGAACGATCAGTTGTGAGGATCCCGACCGTATTGTCGGGATCTCTCCCCACTGCGGCGCTTAGCCCCGCCCACCATCTTAAAGTAACGATTGTATGTTTAGGGTGCATTTTGGATGATAAATTGCAACATTGACTCCTATAGCCCATGGAATCCAAAAGTAAAGAAAAGCTTGGGCCCCCGTAGTGCTCCTTTAAGATCTGAATTTGCATAGAAATTGTGTTGCTTTTCTCATCCTGTAATCTGCATTTGTGTTAAGCAGGACAGACACGGCCCCCGGCACCGGCATATCTCTACGAGTGGAAAACGTTTAAATATATTTGAAAACTTTTTAAAACATTTAACGCTCCCTCTCCCACTCGCCCTGAATTTGAATAATGCCTCGTGCCCGGGAAGCGGCTTTCCTGCAGACATTTCTCAGCGCTATCGTGTCGCGGGGGGGAATGGCGGCGCGAATATAAAATGACGGAATCTTTCTTTTTTTTTTTTCTCGCCCCACAGAAAATAGCAGATAAGTCGAAATCATTGCTCAGCGGAGGACAGAAAAATCTCAAACAAGTAAGTGGCGCGTGTTATCGCACGGAGCTTGAAGATGTTTGCTTATGCTGCGTGAAGCCGCCGCTTCCTGCGCTGCGCTCTCCTATAATAGCAAGTCTTTTAGCATAAAGCTTCTTGATCCGAATTTTGATTTGTCTTTTAAAGCCGTTCGAGGAAAAGCAATTCGCTATACAAAAAAAAAAAGAAACCTTTTCTGTTCTTCCTTTTCCCCCAAAGTAACAAATAAGTTGTTGGGACACTGTGCAGAATTCTGATTGGTTCTGTGGATGCCGAGCTAATGTGGTCAACAGCGCCGCCCCTTCCCCCCACCGCTGTTTGACCACACTGCTCAGTAGGAAAGGAGTAATTAAAAGAGAACTATGGGTGTCAGTGTTATTCCCCATAGTTCTCCTCAGGGTCACGGGAGGACATATACTAGCGTCCTCCCGTCACCCTAAGCTCAGTATATAGGGAGCTACAGCTCGCGGTATACTGAGACGCCGCAGCCGGGACGCATCCCGACATTACTGTCTGGATGGACTACAATCTCAGGTTTAGTTTACTTAATTACTTTGTATTCAGAATGTATATTATATTTTATTAACCATTAATTTTTCCCATTATTAAGCCTTTTGTTCCCCTCATTCATTCCTGCTCGAAATTGAAAATCAAAAGGAAAATAGCTATTTTTAGTAACTATTATTATTTTTTAAACCAATTAATTTGATGAATTTTTGTTCGGCATTAACAACAAGTCTTTTCATTTGTAAATAGTTTTGCAATGTTTGGTACCTGAATCATAAGCATAGTGCTATTTAATATGGGATAAATTACCAAGTAACGGGTATTTGTTTTATTTATTATATTATTTAGGGCTGTGGAAATTAAAGATTAATTTCTCGATTAACCGTTAAACTTTTTGATCGATTAAAATTATTTTGATCGCTAATGAAAACACTCGCCTCTCCGCCGGCTTCCGGGAGTCCCGTCGGCGATCCGGTGAAGTCACGGACATCGACGTCACCGGACTCCTCCCCCCTTCCCCAAGTGGCTCCGTCGGCTAAC